AATGATGTCTCCTGAAAGCTGTGTCTAGTGAGCTGCAATAACTAGTCTAGATATTTCGGCTGAGTCCATACCACAACCTATCTAGAAGATCTGGATATACTGGAGCTTGAACCCCCCTAATGTGTGTGTCATGGCCATGGAGAGAACCGATAGCATGTAAAAGGTTAACGGGTAAGGTAACGTTCCACGATTGTCGTATGACTGATCTCCCCTATCTTTCCCTGCAACCAGTGGAATTTGTTTAAGGGATAAAGGTTTGTACTAGCGATGAAGAGCGCTTCAGAAAAACGGACCAGCGACTAGACAACATTAAGGACCCGTCTCTTTTCGCCGAAACCAAACCGGCGTTCGCCGTTAGTATCTTGGCCTGTTATACAGCTTAGATACCATTCGCTGAATTGCGTGCAATGAAATACCTGCTAACGGAGATGGTACCCAGTAGAAGCTTGTGCTAGTAACAGGGCGTTTCAGTCGATGGAATTTGTTTACACTGCTTACCGATACTTCTATGACGTGACTTTTAATTTAGACTCATGCTAAACAGGGAGCGTATCTAGATGTTGCATCTCACTTATTTCTAGTAGAACACGCTTTAGACCCCGTGCAACTATATCATGCTGTTTACTGAAGAATTGGGTATTCGTTCCGGACAATTAATACCGACATATCCCAATTGCACTGTCGAGTTCCAGCTCGCTCAAATCTTCTAACCGAACTACTCAATGCGTGAAGCGTTTTGTTACTTCGTGCCCACGCTGCCGCAATCAAGCCTCTCGCCTGTCTATCTTCACGGCTAAATGTGCCTTTTTTTTGCAACTAGAAACGGATCATCCAGTTGCTATGATATTGTGCCTGTTATTGGTCACTGTCGACCTTTTTTTGCAGTATTCCTACCCCGAGGATGTGGTCGTCAACGTGTCGGCTTCAAAGGCGACCGCGGACGCCGCGACTTTTATGGCGGGCTATTTTGCAAAGAGGACTGTAAACCTCGTGTGGTCGCCGACTGAAAATTTCATTAGTCGCTGACTGATTTGTGTCGTACTGGTGTTGAAAGTGGAAGCGGCAATGACGGTGACGGTGACGATGCAGCTGCTCTTGACTTTGGTTGTGCTTGTGAACAAGGCATGTCATACAATGGACACAGACCGTAATGAGATCGGTTTCGACAAGTGAGCAACACGTTTTATATTATAAAAGGATCGGTAGCGTCGTAGACACTTCCACCGTGTTTGCCTGCAGGATATATGATGTCATGGTAGCCCAAGTGGCTAATGAGGAAAGACTGACAAAAGCTATTACTGTGTCTTATTTGCTGCACTCACTGCTGTCTGTGTCGATATGGGTTGAGCGGTAGAAAATATCAAAAGCGGGAATGAGAAAGAACTGTGTACGAATGTAAAGCGGAAAATAAATATGTTTAGTGAGTTGTAAAATTGAGCTCTAACTGGTATGGCTGTGCTACAATTGAATTCTTTTGAATACGACGTCGCCAGTGAACCATTATTGTCGAGCAGGCTTTGGGGTTAGGTCTTTTTGTTGGCTAACCGAGCAAACGTAAAATTTCTCCATAGTAACAAAAAACAATCGGCGTCCACCCGACAGAGAGGTAACGCTTGACGTCGCTTGCGCTTTTGTCTAATGATCGTTTCATATTGATCTAGTTGTTGTCTTTACGGAGAAAAGCTGCTATAAAATGTTTGCTTTATTCGACACTTACAGTTCACAACAGGTTTTTGGCAGAAATTTCACTTGAATGAGTCTAGACCATTGTGTACCCCACTAAACCCCAAGCATAGATACATATGCTATGCCCGCTATTATGCTAGTTGACATTTGGTACTTCAACAGAAGAGTGAATAGAGGCGAGCGGCTCATGAAAGGTAAAAGAAGCTTATGATCTTCGTGAGACTCTATTCATGGTAGCGTATCTGTTCTCCAGGGACGTCTAATTGCGCCTTACTGACACCTCGAATACCGTGGTATACCTGCCACTTCATTTGTAGTTTGGCCGTTACGTGTCGACGGCTGTCGAATGGATCCTAGAATGGCAGTCGATTGCGGTATCGCCATATAACGATTGCTATTTGGATTTTGAATAGTCTGGACCACGGAAGGAGACACATTTTACTTAAAATGATTTAGCTGGGCCTAGATTCCGAATACGACTGGCCCCTAATTTCCAGTTTCCTTAGGATGACTTGATCGTTAGGCTGACATTCTGTAGTGAGTACGCACCTGGTTGGCTATATCACTGTTGCGGCTTTCCCTTTACAACTGTATCTGCCACCGTTGATTCCAGTAATACAAAAAGCATAGGAACAGACAGCTGTGGAAGTACGAGGTCTGCTCAGGGTATTAGTTAGTTTAACTGCTGCTGTGGTTTGGCGGACGCTGATGACGCTTCCACTTCTGCGACACGACAGTCAGCTGGCTAATAGTTGTCTGCATAGTGCCGTCGTCGCGATTGTGGCCATTCGCGTTTTCCTCAGGTTGAACCTCGAGCAAGCAAATAAGCAGGGCAACAGACGATCAAGAAGGCAGAAGTACGAACAAACGAACCAGTCAAATCAAAGCGACGACAAGTAACAGTCATATAGCCCTGCTGGTTGTGCCTCGCAGCAATGAGTCATTCGATGGCTGTAGTGTTGTGACTATGGCGTGGTAGTTATGGCCGCTGTAATGGTTCCGATTTTTCCACTCAGAGCAATGCTGCATCGTTATGGTTTCGCCGTCATCTTACTACCAAACAAAAGATACTTTAGCTTCTGCTGGTGCCGACGCGCGCGCGTCTGCGATTGTGGCCGCACGTCGACAGCGCTAAAGTAAGCGTAGATGTGCTAGCGGTAGCAGTAGCACTACCAGAGAAGAAAAACTATCGGAAAAAAACGAGGCGTCCCTCTGGCGAATATCTCAGAACGTCTTCTTCGTCCGAATCATTCGACTATCATCACTTGTCGCTTTATCAGTTGATATTCGCACACGCGTACACACACCACCGCATTTGCGAACGCCAAGCTGGCCGGCTAAAGCGATTTAAGGTAGCGAGACGATATGATATGGCTAGAAGAAATAAAGTTGTATAGAAGATATATATATATATATAAAAGTGCCGTTTTAATTTAAGGAAACAACTGAGGAATTATTTTCATCTGGACCCTCGTTCGCGCCGCCATTAACGATCGAGTTGTTACGTAACAGAGTTATTATTATATCATTTGAGGGTAGGTTACTACAGCGCGTCTGCCGCTGCCGGTGCGAGCTTCGCCTTACGATAGGCGCATCTAGTTTAGTTTCACCGTTATAAAGGCAAAAGGACATATGTAAAACTTATGTCAAGTAGTTTCTAGCAAGTCGTTCTGCAATCGCCCATCTAGGATTAAAATACAACGTCGCTTTTTTCGGGGGAACAAGTAAGTTTATCCTTTGATCAAAATGCCAACTAAGCATTTCTTACAACTGTGTTATGGGAACTTTGAATGTATCCTCAGATTGCGGATCCGTCCCGTAGCATCATTAGAAACGTCAAAAAATATATGATAAACATCTACTAATTCGCTGTTTAGAGCTGCTGACAGTAAAATAGTAATATCAGTTCAGTTATAAAGATACACGTTATTGTTCCTCAAACGTTAATTAAAGTGTGCGCATAGATGCCCTATTGAGGCAACTGATGTAGGGATACGACGAGGAAGCATTGTTTCGAAAATTCACTTGAGTTTTCATTGCCTTTGGACTGTTACGTAAACCTGTTGATGAAATGACGTCAAAGGAATATGGAGACAGCCTCCAGTCATATACCGTCACAGACCGTTGGCACCTTATAAAGATCGGCTACCAATTATTCTATATATAGAATGACTGCTCTGTATATATATATAGAGGGAACAGGACCTTAAAAAACGAAGAAGGTTACTTAGTTCATTAACTGCGTACTAGTGCGGAGCGTCTTTTATATTCCTCATATAATTAAGGAGTAATATAAGAAGGAACTATCAAAATATCTTATCAATAACCCCTTATGTTAAAATAACTAAAATTATTAATTTCGCTGATTTTTTATCATTTTGATCGGGTCATGTAAAGATGCAGTCATGTAAAAAAAAGACCTAAAAACAGCTTAGTCTTCGTCACTTTTTTTGCTCCTCAATCAAAGACTGCGCCGACAGCTTCGGTAATGACCGACCCTTCCAGCTTTTACATAAATGAAGTACATTTTGTGTACAAATGTTTATTACATTATTATGTGGTTCGGTTAGACCGGAGGTTGAGGGCTAAGGAAGGGCCGGTGAGCGACGGTTGAAGTGGGGTAGGCGCAAGCATTGAAAGCGTCCACAGACATTTGTACCGTGTAAATGCCTATTTCAGCAGGAAATTATACAGGTGACGAAGCCGCCTAGCAGACTTTGCTGAGAAGATGATTATCGGTGGTAAGGCGAGTAAGAATGTTTTTGAATGTGTTGCTTCTCTTTCTTCATTATTCAATTGAAATTGATTAGCGTACTGATACATTAGACTACTGGTGTATCTGAAGAATTATGTAGTTGGCTTTCAAAAGACAAATGAGTTGAACCTTAAAATAAAGATCTTTGCTGTGTTCCTGTAACGTAATACTGCTTTTAATACCTGAGCACCGGAAGCGTTTCATTACGTGCGATAGCAGTTTTCTATAGACATTCTGCACTGTTGCAGTCTAGACTTTTCTCGAATCTTTTCATGCAGTCGTCTGCTATCTCGGCTTGATACAATGGTTTATGTCGCATATCGAGGGATATTACTCATGCTGAGTAATTTTCAAGTTCGCCCATCTATCATCCCTTGTCTAAAGTAGCGTTTGTCAATCAAAAAGAAGCTCACTTATGAACATTTTGAACCAAGTTAACTTTCTCAGATTTTATTTCGAATTATAATATCCACGTTCAAGTTGAACAATTCTACATAATTTATACACTATTAATTTCAGCTTATTTTTTCTTTTTACTATTTCTGCGTTTCTATTCTAGATCGAAGGAGTTCATGATCTCCACTCGTTGGAGATCCTTCAGAACAACCTAATCCGAGCGAATAGACAGAAGGAAAATTCCAACAGTCTGGCACAACTCACAGCTCACGCTCACGCTCATAACAACAACAACAGGTAAACGTTTCTATCTTGGAAGGCCGTTCTTAATGATTGCGTTATTAAATATACATATAAAGCGTGTTAACGGTTACATATACGCGTACATGTATTGTACGGGCAAAAAAATCGTCAAATACTTTTGCCTCATCTTGTATACATATATATCCTTTATGGCGTGTCAGCATTACTTACGTATAGCATGACTTTATATATGTATTATTCAAGAAGTGCTCATTTCTAAGATAGCACATTTACTTTACGTTATTCCAATGTTGTTCCTCTAATTTACCAGCTTCGAGGTATTCAGTGCTCTCCAATAAAGTTAATGCCAACATGTTCGGCAACCCTTAGCAACATCTGAAAACCAAAATATCGATTGTCGAAAACTTCCCGACCTACCTTCGTCATCCAGAGAAGGTTTAAACAAAATATTAATAGTATCATTAAGCGCACGCTTTCAGCGAGATGCTCAGTGTTGACGTAGCGCTCGAGATGCTACTTTTTGCTTTGTACGCCATATGTATATGCTTACGATATACTCATCGGGCGTTAAGTTCGGCTGTTTTCTTCTACTGTGTCTACTTTGTTCAAACTAGGCAAACCCTAGCCAATGAACACTGCAATCGTCGTTGCCATCTACCTGAAGTTGTAACAACTTATGCAGTTACCTGAGGGCTTTTGGCGGAACATAGCACTGAAGGTAAAATAGATCAGAATAAGTACTAACTGACACCAAATCACTTCGAGAGTTAACGTTACAAACTGCCCTCAAGCTGCATTTAAACTGAACGAACGAGTTTTCCCAAGAAGCCAGAGGTTCCCAAATAGCCAACGTTACGATAAAGGTGCTATTGGATACATCCACCGTTCGAACATAATCATGTACATCTGTCGTGATTCGTTGAGGCTTGTTCATGAGCTAATTTCAAAAACGAAACGATGTTTCTAAGCGGTACTGGTACATACAATGAATCAATAGAAGCGTATCTTCAAGTAAGTGCATTTGATAAACAAATGTGCACTTCGCAGAAAAAAGAGCCGTCGTATGCAAAGTACAAAACACATAGATCGTCGATTATAACCACCGTTGTCGTAGCATCACAATGAAACTGTCTGCGTATTGCCATTTACCACTGCTAGCAAAAAGCAAAGTACGACAAAAGTGCTAGTATGACTTCGTTCTGTGATCTCTTTATTCTATTGTGCTCTATTTGAAGTGCGTATGACGGCCTGCTGTGTTGCCTCTTGACTTATTATCTCTGCAATGACTATATATTGTTTATCGATACCTACGAGTGACTCGAATGCGGCTTCCAAGCGTTGATGAACGTCGGGTGCCTTCCTTATTGATGTCCATGTTTGGCTGGGAGTTCTTCATTCGTTCGCGGTTGTGGGCAGTGGCCGTTTCTGGAAGCCCTTTGTCGTTTCCGACTCGTATTTGTTTCGCCTACCGTTGCCTTATCTTCTGTTGTACGGATCAGGAGACTGATTTTATTTTGGAGAAGAAAAATCAACAACGAAACCTAAGCTGTCGTCACCCTTTGTCCGCGTACGGCGGATAATCCTTTACGAGCTGACGCCCCTGACAACGTCGCCATAAATCCACTGTCGACTGACAATGAAAGACAGAGCTGTCTGTCAGGGTGCTGTTATAGGTTCATTGAAATCGTTGGAAATTAGATCCAATCTGACGATCTGGAGCAGTTTTACAGCCAGCCATTCGAAACATAGCCTCGATTCGTGAAGAGGTTAGGAATCTATAAGGCTATATTTACTTTTGTTTTTTACAGAAGATATCGACGCTTGTCCAAAATTAAGTCGCAGTTTTATACGATTTCTAATTTTTTGTTGTCGGATTTAGCGACGCAAGCGTACGTTGATTTTCTGTGGCTATATCCATTTGTGTATTTAATCATGGCGTCGCCACTCATTATCGGTAGCACATTGACACGCTGAATGCTATTAGTCAGGTCAATAGACCTACAATTCCGCAGTACAGGAGTGAAATTTCACGGCTGTTTAGTATTTGTTATTTTTTTGATTGATGTTCGAGAAATGTTAGTTTAAGATGCCAATATATTAACGAATTTACAAGGATGGGATAAAAATAAAATTCATGAGTCAACAGCAAGCCTAGTATTTACGTTAATTTCATCATTAGCAGAGCATAGCTATACCGTAACGAACTTCCCAACATTGAAGCCCACTGAATAGCCGAGTCCCAAAAAGAAGCTGGCTTAATATTGTTATATGTTATCACATGTACTTAACTATTGCACAGACACGAAGAAGTGCAACAGCTTGTGCTTACATGAAGCACAGTCGTCGGGCGCGTTCACAGTTGTGCGTCATCTCGATACAGTCTATATCGTTTTTTCCCGAAGTCATGCCTCTGCCCATTGAGTCTTCAGTGATATTTTTCATTTACAGTGCTATAGAAGGGCACAATAGTGAATCCCTTTGCGTAATTTACGTTGCTGAATCGACTCCTAGCAATCCCAATGATATTGGTTAGCGGTTGTTTGTCATTCGTACCACAGAAATGGTGCCGGTCACGACCTAGTCAGCCACCAATCGCATATACAATTGACCATATACATTTCATACGTTCAGTCATTGTTTTCTTTAGCAGTGTATTTTTAGTTTCGGTAGGTGTAGGTAGGTATACACGTTGCATCCCTGGCGGACACCTGGCGGTACCGTTCACTGCGAGTTTAGCGCATTCGAACGACCTGTTATGCGTTCCGTAAACCGTTGATTGATTGTGTTCGGCTATTATGGATGCTGTTTTCGCTAGTTCTGCCAAATTCGCCTTTCATTCAAATCAAAGCCTAACTTAATGTCAGCGAAGGCAGGCCGATCCCTTTCGGGCGACAGAAAATTATCTCATGAATTAAATCCTGTAACATATACTATGTTACGTTAGTGTATACTGCGTCTTTGACTTCTTTCCAAACAGTCGTTCTAAAAACGCATTGTAAGTACTAGCATCGAACGCTAGAAGGCAACAGACTACCATTGAACAAGCATTTTTAAATATATTCATAAAAAATTATTACTTATACAAAAAAATAATATTTAAAGTATGCGTATAGTATCATGGATTGATTACCTAACTGCCAATTGCGGATACAAAATGAAGCTTGACTACAACAAAAAACCAAAGCCCTTTCTGACCAGGATGAAAATACTGTGGTATTGCTTAATTATGGCCATTCCGCAACGGGGTTTTAGAGAATCCCTTCATAGTAGCCAATGATCTAATACAGTCATAATATTAACCTGTTCTTAATTCATTCTCTTCATTTTCCAGTTTAACTTTTGTACGATTTGACGTTACATATAAAGTTATCGGCGGTGTTTACTGTAGTGTACTACAGGCATGAATTGATAAACAAAAATACCGTATCATCGCAAAGCCATAATCTTAGCTGCGTCGGATAGGTACCTTTAGAGCATACTGTGTCACACGAGCGCAAGTTACATAAAACGCATAAGAAATTACTAATGTTTCTCAGACTATTTAAAACTTATTTTCAAATTCTTACAAGTATATGTCTCTTTTGTGAAGTCTAATCTAATTGTCATTTTTGCTTCACAAATCTGCACAGATCTTTGCAAGAGGACGACGAAGGCTCGGGTGATTCGGGTGAATCCGAGCTTGAGTTAATGATGTCCGAAGACTTCCTCGAGCCGAGCTCGAATGGTGCTCCGAAACCTCGAAAGCCCTTACGACGCAAAGTGCTCCAAGGGCCGCATCAGAAGCGGCGTCAGTCGGCGCCAGTGACTGTTTCGAGTGCTCGCTCGGAAGCATCTACTGGAGGAATATCCATCGACCGAGACTGCAATCGGCCATCGTCACCAGATCTTGGTCAGTTCAGCCCATCACTAAAATTAAACAAACAACGTATGACCCCCTCAAAAATATCTCTGTCCTCATTGCCCTCTTCAAAGTGGCCCTGACCTACTAAATTTGTGCCTCGAAGATATCGGGTTGAATACAATAACCTTGCAGTTTCTTTATAGCCACTGTGCAGGTCGGGGCACGGCGATCATTGTTATCAGCACGAGTATATGGTATACAGTTTAGTTCATTAGCACATTCCCGGAATAGACCTGCAATACAATCCGTACACGAAGATTCTGTAAGGCTATAACGTAAGTTTGTAAGATTGTAGTTTTTACCTTTCTGTGAACTGTCGTAACGATTGTTTCAGCTACGTATATGGACATCCAGGGTAACTCACTACAGAAAATCTATCCGGTAACATCTGTCACAGGTTTCGGTTCTAAATCGAACTGTGTTTGATTTTATTTGGCGTATTTTATAATTGTGTTATTGTTCTGTAACTTAGAGCTGCGCGATCCGGCCTTTTTCGACTCACTGCTGTCTGACAATGGCTCACCACGATCCGAACCATGCTTTTCGTTCATCTTTGACCCGCCGTACAGTCCACCGCCGCCCTCATTCTGGAGCCTTCCGAATTCGGCATTCTCGAGGTTGGTCGACCCACCAACTCAGGATGAAGGCCCCAAATACGTTCACCTTAATCTGAACTACGCTAACCAAGCTTTGAAATTAATTCTTATTTAATTGGCAATTTGCTGTGCGTCGTCAAACAGACTTACATAGATTGCGAAGGGTATCAATCTTAGTGGAGTCTAGTGTTGGGCTGTTAGAAGCACTAACTTTCTAATTATTAGCCAGATATTTAAACGTTCATATTTAAATAGAATAAATTACTGAATAGGTATACACTGCTCGTGTTGAAATACTTCCAATGCTGCTGCAAATTTTTGCTGGTAGAATGGATGTGATGCAGGCGAAGTTCACAAAGTGATGCAGGTCGCGAGAAAACAGCGTGGTGTCAACAGGATAGACACTACTTAGACGACGCTATTCAATTGCTACATGTACATGATGCATATGAAAGTTTGCTATGCATATCGCGATATACTGTTATGGTCGATATTGGATGCACTTGTCTTTCTCCAACAGAGGTGGCAAGCGTCAAGGATCAACTGACAGCTATACGACGTCTTCGACCCCGCATTCTGATTCACCGTCGGAGTGCGTCTACACCTACGCCGAGTGTGGCAGTACCACGTTGAGTAATCGAGATACTCGATCATCGTCGTTGTCACTCTCCTCATCGACGACGCGACATTCTTCCGAGGACGAAGAGGTCCTTCTAGTTTCGTCAGCGGCCATTGATCCTGGTCTTCACCGATCGTCTCATGGGCAGTCTGCCCATTCCCACGTGTCCGGCTTAAATCCGTCATCGCACCGCACATCCCACGCGCCTTCAATGGGGGCCCGTTCCGCAACGACGATAGGTTTCTCGGGGCATCGAGCATCATTAATAGGCGCTGGAACAGCCGCATTAGGAAATTCGATAGGACTGGCGCCGACCATGACGGCGCAAATTCCTCATTTCGCAAAATGCACTCCACGCATCACCAAAGTGTAGCTCTCGAATATAATCATAATGATAATAATAATAATCACTCCCTCACTCACTTCTGTTGAAATCATTAGTGCTTTTGATACAAGTAGAGTTGGACCGCCATATAGGTTATTCTAAGACAAATCATGAAAATCCTGTTCAAGGGATGTTACGCCGGTAAGAGTACAGTGAGGTGAAGTTGAGACATCGGAACACTGATCAAGCTGCCCAGGTTTATGCAAGCTCAGTTCGAAGGATTCAAGCGAATATATAACTATAGCAACATTTATAGGGAGCAAATCTTGTTGAGTGATACCGTTGCCATCTGGCGCTTACCTGACGCGACCGCGTACCAAAGTATAAAGGCATGGGATGCATCGCAATCAATGCACGCTTCACATTTGAAACATGTTCTTCGACAACGAATTGTGTCTTCTAAACACTCTAGTTCCCATACATAAAAGTACAACAACGGCAACAGATGCTATGTGAATTAATTATTGCGGAAGGCGCAGTTTGAAATGGGTAATAATGGCCCTGGTAATGAAACAAATGATTAATTGAAAAAACGTCACTCTGTTCCGCATAGAATATTGCTTTATATGATGCAAGGAAAACCATTGTAGAACCCACAAGATTCTCTCTGGTCTCTTATACTCCTGACAAGACCCATTCAAAATGGAAAGAATTTATCGTCACTAGGTGCTGTCACATCAGTCTGTCAGGTTCGTGTTCTCTGCTTGATTTTTGAAGCTGACTCTTTTGATGGACAACTCTAATATGAATGCGCTAGTAGTTCATCGTTAGTGGAGTGAAATGTTCAGTTTTGTTATCGAAGCATTTGGCGTGTTCCTGCAGAAACCCTGACAGAGCTAACGTGCGGAAATACGCCTTCAACTTTTCCCCAACTCGATTTGTCTCTGCCGACGGGAAACTAAGATAAACGGATCACCCAGATTGTATGTAGCTGTGATCTTGATAGCGCGCAACAAGTTGATGGTCGATGCTCCAACAAGTAGATTATGTTGCCCTGACTATTAGATAAAGTATAGCTTTTACTCATGTTTACTCGCAATGCCCTCTATCGAATCGCAAAATAAAAAAAATGGTTCGGTCGCGATCTATTGATACTTTGTATGCAATACCTATATATAACCAACATACCACTGAACGTTATTGCGTTGAAAGCTAGACAAGTTAAATTTGCCAATAAACAGCTTATATATATATATATATATATAAAGCGTATGATCATATTTTTGCACGTCTTAGTTGTTTACAAACATACATTTCGCCTAGGCGTGCCTTTTAAGGAGGAGGGCCGCGATGGTCAATGGTCTGTTTTCTTTATGCTATATGCGAACGCGTCAAAATAGAGTGCAATTGAGCTATCTACGTATCGACGTACAGTTGAGCTGTGATTAGTGCATGCAGTGTAACCCGAAGAAAGAAACGGACTGAAAGCGAACGATGTGGCTCGTGTACGCGCGCTGATTTTATAGTTGAAAGAAAAGCAGAATTTCAAATGGATTTAAGAGGAAAACAGTGTTGTTGTTCTTGCAAATGCGTGATTACTATCAAAATAAACAAGAGATGCTCAAAAATAATGGCAATATAAGATGTAATTAGTTATAGCAGCAGCTGGTGATGCGATAGCTATCATTGTGGTATCCTCGTAAGGCCGTGGGGACTGTTAATTATTGTTGGAGACAATTTGAATACGTGTCTTAGAGAAACAGTTTTTTTATTTTGTTACGTACCTATACTTGATTATTCCTTCTATCTGAACAGGTCCCCAAGGGCTCGTTGCCGCTAAAGGTCAGATCAAAGTGTGTCTTGTTATACTTAAGATTCCTCTTAGAGGCCTATGTAATCGTACAAAGAGTATTTTTGTCTTTGTTCGTCCTTTGTGTTATAATCACTGCTACTGGATGATTTCTTTCATGACTCTGTAGCAAAAATTTGATTAACGGTGAAATTTGAATCAGCGATTATCTCCTGTTTGATCGTAATTCACTATGGCGCTGTATTCAAGAAGTTGCACATTAGTCATCCCGACCACTGTCTTCCTCTCAACTTAGAAACAGCTTGATATAGTCTTCGTAAAGGTAGTCCTCAATATGTGTCCATAAAGAGATCTACGTTCTGAGTATCAGAAACCGAGGTCTTTGGTAGTTGATTCATGCGACCGCTAGATCAAAAATCCGCTACGGAAGTCCCATTTAAATCTGCTGCTGATGTCTTAATAAGAAGACTTTGAGCGTTTTCATTAATTCAGCTAATTGATTACGTAAGTTGACCGGTTAATACGTAATTTAATAGTTGTGCGGCTATTCTGGAAGGCAAAAAGGACGTCACGCTGTGGCGTTTGCTTCTGTTGCTCAACTTATCAACTTAAATTGGATCAAAATCACTGAATGATATGACAGCTACAATCAATCGATCGAAGTTTTTGTTTCAACGAGAAAAAGAGCAGAAAAAGTTTGCTCTTTTTTCTCATGAAACCGATCACTCTGCAGCTACAGTTCTACAACGCACGTTCATGATAATACCTATTGACACAGTTGAAGGGCTCGAATTTATACAAAAGTAAGTTGTTTTTTTGGAATGCTCTTCAAAGAGGATAGAGGCTTGAATATCTAAAGAGTAAACGATTGTCCAGACAGATATAATTTTGTTTGTGTTCTGCCGTATAAGCGGCAATAGCTTTCTGCAGAAATCTAAAGTCAGTGTTTGCGGAATAGGCCCCGTTGTGGATTCAACCAATAGCAGCAAACGAAACAATGTATAGTTTCTTGCAGGAAATTAAAGCGGAATGAATATCATTAGTCTATTTCTAATGCGAGATCGTCAAGAAAAAATATGCGAAGGTGACTTAAATCTTGTTAGAACTAAATCACTAGTATCTTGTCATTTGTTTAGTGGTGAGATATATCTTCAGATAACAGTGCAGTACAGGTTCTCTAAAATGCGGTAGCAATTTTTACGGCCAAATAGCTCTCACCTTGAAAAGCGTCTCTTAATAGCAGTATCCTGTTAAGCAAATAACTCGGTCTTAATTGCAATGGCGATCAACACTGTTTAAATAAAAAGTCAATTTGGTCATTTGCAAGATTCCATGGCGCTTGTGAACAACGTTTGGCCTTCAAGGTACGGTTAGCGGGATCACGATATCTTTCTGCGCATGCGACGCTGATTCACTTGAATTAGATGAATTAGTCATAAATTTCAACTCTTGGCGTTAGAAACTAAAGACAGCACGGCTATAACGATTGTTTTAAAGGGATTATTTGTCAAAACAGACAAGGTGTTTTCCTCTCGTATGCGTTCTTAAGGCTCGCGTAGTTTGCTACATATGCTGTTTTTCGAGAACAATTATAAGTCACCAAAGGTGTCGCCATTTTAAGAAGGTCCTCCATACATGTCGGGGGTTACTCGGGTGAGCCTGCAGGCACACGTTGAGACAACCAGTTTCCAATTTAAGAAACTTTGAATTGATTGTTGGAAATACGTTCGTTCTGTATGCTCAATGATTGTTTGTAGCTATGGTAGGAGTTGAAGATCTCATGACAAACCGTAAATCGAGCTATATTTACATCGCTGATTTGAGAGACCCTCGCACACTCAAGTCAAATCGCATATTCGGAAATCAATAATCCCGTTTTGGTTTTCACTTTTGAGGACCGAACGAGGAAACAGTTCCGCATCAGTTCTGTTGATTTTATTGCAGTTATAATCGTCTTAGAGGCGTAACGAGGTCGATTGATTCTATTCGATAACATTACAAGTTGGGTGAGCCCTTGCTTCTGTGCCAACAGTAAATCACCGCTGAATTGTATCGTATAGATTATAGAAGACGCCAAATCTATTAACATCTGACACTTTGCCGCCGGTCCTAAATGCCCTGACAGGTTTCGTGAACTCAATCGGCATCGTAGTCCCAAATTTGTCGAAAACCATCCCACTAACGTTTCGGTGTACCACAGTTTGCTCATTATATTTGACGATGACATATTTCAACATTGATTGTACGAGGGGTTTCAATACGAATCGGGGTAGAACGCTAACGACCCGTCATCCAGCATTTGATCCGTATCCAGAATTCGAGTATTTCAGTACAAAGTGATAGGTTCTATCGTCCTTATACGTGAACGTATTCTTGTCAATATTTATAAACAGTTGAAATAGCTTTACCAGCTAATACCAACACTGGTTAAGCTTCTCAGGATTCATACTAAGTGCAGTGGCGTGCTGGCTTTCTACTGATGCTCGTCAATGTCTCGCAGGATCGTACCGGCTTCGATAGACGCAGGACGACGAGAGGTGCGAATTTGTTTAAAGAGAAAAATCTTAGTTGACGCCCAGCGGATACGAAAGAGAGGGCCAGATTTACAGAGGTCCAGAGAAACAACCCTATGGCTACAAGCCCTAGACTGTATCGTCTGTACCAAACTCGAGTAATCTAGTAAATCTTTACACAATAACTCCGTCTCTTGCAAACTGTCGCAACGATTAACAGAAGTCAAGTTCTCAAATGAAGGTGTATCAAGACAAGTCTTTTGAATAAATTAGTTCAGCGAATCTTGACTAACTTAAACTGAAACCTTAAGTACTGCAATCCGGCGTTTCAACTTACATAATCAAAGAAGAACCTATAATTTCAAATAATAGTTACTACTAGAAAATGAGTCCATGCCCCTAGGTAGTTACCCAATTGATAGGAACAGGTCGAAGAATACTTATTGCATGTTTTGCATAGAAGAATCGCAGTATACTCATGGAGAATTGCGGTGCTTATATGAATATGCTGCATATAAAGTGTTGAAGGTAAGTTTAATCACTTGTGGCACGTCGAATTCGTCACTATGTTGGGACATCTAATGGAATGCCATTTTGTCTTTCTTTTCCTTACATTTGCGCGTCTTAGTTACAGGATTGTAGCAGCTCGTTTGGTTTGGAGATAAGCCTCATGAATGTATAGAAATTTCTAAACGACTTACTGACAGCTAATCGAGAGAAGGCCACATCGAATACATTTGAAGGTGATATAGAAGCCCAGCAATGTTCAATTGCAGGACTTACATTTATTTGATTTAAATTATTTTGCTGCGTACCTATGTGATAATCCTGAAGACTCGCTATTAGTAATAAAAATAATCATACACGAAATTCGATTGAGTCGATGAAGTGGTTTCATTGACTTTTGAAGGCGCTGTAACCTTGCAACATCGTTTTCTTCGCATTGTAAGGTACCAACTGAACGTGGTGCAATTCTTCAAGCATTTAGTGATGCTCCTAATATAACTGGATGTGCCATTATACCCCCGTATGTACTTATGCCCACTTAAGCAAATTGAAGGGTTGCTAAACTCCCAGTTGAACTTATTCGCAAGAATGTTTCCTTTTCCGGGTGTATAACTCATCAACGGATAAAGAAGAGGCATCTGCTAGATTAAATGTAGAGATCTGATCACCCATAATACTGCACGACGTATCTCGCGGTCTTGCCTGTCGTATACCCAGCTGACAGATCGGACGGATTTTAGATGGTATCTTTCTTGGAGCAGTCCTCGTTAGATACCCTTTGGAAATTGACTTTTTTCAGGTTAGCTTTATCTAGCACAGCTTGGATCGGATCGTGAAACTTATCCTCCATGTTTGGTGCGCGGGTGATTACGTTGTATGAAGCTGAAAAACAAGTTAGCGTCAATAAGGTTTTTTCTAAATTATTTATAAAAATATATACACTGTTACTTACTATTACTTAGTTAATTGTATCGAGGGTGTAATTAATGTGTATAAACACGAGATTCTTTTTATCACAAATCTAGAAGGTCGCTTGACATAAGGCAAATAATTAAGTATCGTGGCATATTCTACGACAAATGTAAAATATTGGATCGTTAAGAAAATCATTGGCTGTTCTGTTTCATCGTGATAGGTTCTTTTTCTGGAAGGTTCTTTTTCTGCAAAGCTATATTCACCCTCACGTTCAAATCTTCAAATTGAAATTTCACTCTAAGTTCGGCCTCCAAAGATCGTATCCTTGTGGTAAAATCACTAATTTTGACACGTCTTGTTCATTATTTACCAAAGTAAAAAGGCTGTCAAGACAAGCCAGGATAGATATGGCGTGTACAGCAAATACTGTGCGGGCCACAGTGCCAGTTGAAAAGCTATTTAAATTAAAAAATTGCACTTCTAATTTGAAAAGTGAGGAAACGGGGAACGCCACTGTTTGAGTTCGACGAGAATCGCGTTAAATCACTTTTGAAAGAGGATGTTAAATGAGCCCATGTTGTTTAGCTATCGAGTCCTCATTGTACGGCCAGCGAATCTACTGGGCCGCTTCTACCACCTTTTGACATTCACTCACTTTTCAGCCGGCGTAACCCATTTTTGGAGTCCGAGCTAGAAGTAAAACGTTACAAAGCAGTAGTCTATAGTTATGTGCCACTGAAAAGCAGGAGAAGAGCTTTTCAATAGTACTAAACGTCTCTAGAAAACCACCATCGAAGCAAATATAAGCGGCGGAAGACGATAAATGAAAATAGTCATTATCTCCTGTAAATCCTAGATAAAAGTAGTCGCTCACTTTTTGTAGCCCGATTTAGAGGCATCGTTTTCTAGTTACCGTAATGCAAAGACTATGCGTCGTCTGTGAAAGTGATGCGTATAGTGAACATCTGAACTTACTAGTGTGCGTTAAAACTTCGAAAAACTGTATCCAAAAGTGTAAGCACATATATCTTAGTATAGGTTCATGCTTGATCATTAAAGGAAAGTTACCAGAAATTCGTAATAGCAATAAGTAATATTACGACCCGTATAGTTCTCAAAATGCTTGTAAAGCTGACACTACACGCACCTGCAGAACCTGATTTTGCCCAGACGACCGCCCAGTTCGCGTAGTCAGTTCCCACGATAGCGATTTCCATCAAAGTCTGATCGCCCATATCAAGGTAAAAACGTGCTGGATGTTGGCTATCTTCCTTAACGTCGATAGACATCGTAACCAACTCCCCCCTGACGATGTCGAGCGCGTACAATCATTAAACGTTATCAAATCTGTTTGCTTTAGCAATGGAACGCTTATCGAGAAGCCCATTAATGCATGAGTCTGCTACGGCCTTACGTTCTTCTGGTGACAGGCATATCAGACAACTTAGTAACTTTAATATTGCAACAAAGTTAGAACTAGCTCTGTTAGTCATGTTTCACTGGTTACCGCAGCTCGCAAGCAAATCCCTTAGATAAATCGCATTTCATTAAGTAAATTCTATTTATTATGAATGATTTTGATTTTTGCTGATTAGGTATTCATCATAATCAGAATGTACGTATAATGACTAGCAATGCAGACAATTTAATCCATAGCTCGAACGGCGGATCAGCAGAAGTTATCTGCTAAACGTACAGATATTCATTAATAATAATTACATAGACAGAGTTTCGTAATTAAAACTATACTTACTCTTCGGATATGTATTCAGCCTGAATTTGATAGCTTTCTCCAGCTTGCTTTGTTAGCACGACATGTGCGCAACGGTCGGCATCACCATAAATCGCCTGAGAATAACTATCTACCCACCACTTTCCAAGAAACTACGCAAAAAAATAAAACAAACATTAACAAAATTACAGAACTACGTTAATTCCCACTAATCGTCGAAACTGAACTTAAAGAGCCTTTGGGTCTTTTTGCACCAGCTCCCCTTAGTAGTTTCGCAAGATTCCTCAAAGGTGTGCCAAAGTTAAGTATATAAAGCGTTGATATCTGTGCAGTAATATGTTCGAGAATAACTTTTACTAATTACCAACTTCTAGTGTACAATTTTTCAAACAATGTTTTACATTATTGGGAAATATTTGAACAACAATAGATTTCACTATTGCATGAATGCGGAGAACATGAACTTCTACACGTTTAACATATATGTTTCGGGAAGTCATCTGAGTTCCGGATCCTGTTCAACCCCATGTACGGCTTATTTAATAAGTACGGCTTAGACTGCTGTATGAGTTGAAAGCTGGTTCAGGAATCGATTGAGATTAACATCGGCGGGGAATATCCACCTACCTTTTCTGCGTCGATAGAGTCCATTATATGAGCTGGTGAAGCGCACACTCTTGACAGCAAATCTACGATAGTCACGGCTATCCATAAATGTCTATGGAAAATCATAGTAATTAAATGAAAAAAATACTTTATAACCTACTAAAAATGAGTTACTGTCAAACAGTAGAGTTCTAGCTACTAGCTTGCCAATAGCCACTCCCCGCACACCGTTGCGTCTTACATGTATCCGTCTATAATCTGCTTATATGATTTCTGCTGATGCATTTGTCGAACAATATCTTGTAAATATTTATTAATATCTTTTTTTGGCAAGCCGAGTTCTAATAGTAAACAGTTCACCAAGCTTCTTTCATCTTTTTTGGCGGACACTGAAAATTCGATTCAGTGAGCTTGGTAACAGATTCCCTTATAACACAACGTCTAACGAAAAAAGATGCAAGACTGGTAATTGAAGGGTAAACATCAGGATGTTTTCTGACCGACAGTCAGCATAAATTATGGTAGCGACCATGATGATTTGAAGGTTAACAGTTATATCAAGATGGACACGAAATTTATATTTATTTAGCAATTAAACGTATTATAATGTGGGCTTTTGTGTTTGTTGATCGTCGAAAAGTGTGTGAAAGGGTTTATGAGTCATATTGCAGTAAGTCGTCAAAGTTGATACAAACAGAGATATACGAAAATCTTAGTTGGCGTAATACGATCATTTGAAAAAACACCGTACAGAGAAAATAAAAATGAAATGTAGTCGCTGCAGGAGTACCGAAAGTCGGCATTACTTTCAGAGCTCCTTCAGCCATTACAGCCGACATCAACATTCGATGAGCCGACACTTTTTGAAATATTTGAAATTAACTAGTACCAAAGAAGGACGTCATTTGCTACCGCAGTTATTTGTAAGTTTTTCCATACAAGCATTCAGAGGCGAACAAATGCATACTCTCAGTGAACGTCCATGATACACTTTTAAAGAAATTAAGCTATATTAACCATGATATCAAGACAAATCTCTTATGCTTGCCACGTGGTATAGAAAACAGAAGACTCTGAACAGTGAACTGTTGATATTTAAATGGTTATTTTTATTGTAATTATTATTTGAAAGGAGCTCGTAAAATACGTAGCGATACTCTTTTTGAGCGGCCTAAATTGAATATGTCATAAAAAGAAACCTAAAACCCATATGGCCCATATGAACCCTTTGCATCCGGCCACGGTAAAGCAACAGAACGTTTTGAAGCTGCGATTATCATGATTGCTAAGACTGAATTTGACGTTGGTCGCTAAATTCAATCTGGTTGTTATCGAAGGCCGATGGCAAGATATGAGGAATTTAGTATACATAAGAGAGAGGTCGTTACGTTGTGACTGTTTAGATCTAAAATATTTCGCTCAAAATTAACCTTAAACAGTAACGCTAAAACAAAGCAGTGCTGCACCTCACTTTTTCACGAGCTTCACACGAAGGGTCCTGTTCGTCGTAGCCGATTCTTTGCTATCGAAAAATCCACTGGCAGTTGTCATTAGCGATTGCATCGAGCCCCACTCCTTTTAGACCGGGGAAACGTTTGTTGATGCATTCAAACATCTGGGTGTCAATGGCTTCAAAATGAATGGAAGTCGACGAAATTACTAGCTCCTTTCTTTCACATTGAGATTTGAAGGCAGCGTGTTTCGTGTACGCATGCCCAGCCTCTTCAAATCTTCAGTATCTTTTTTCGGACTTCAGATACTGCAAATGATCTAAGATGGTCGTAAGCAGCTTGCTACACAAAATCGATTCCTTTGGAAGAATAACCGTTAAATCCAATTAGATGTTTTCACATAGCGACCGATGAATAAGGTACGTGTTTCGTCAACGACAACCATCTAAAATGACAAGCGGAGCTCATTGTCTAGGTTTAATATATTGGTTTTCTTTTCACCTAAACAAAGATTATATTTTAAATAAATTGAAGCGCAAAAAAGCGTCGACAGTTAAGCTCGATTTAGTAAAACACTAGTTCAGCATTTATTAGAAAAATTTATTCCTAGCTAGAAGATACCTTCCTCGCAGCGGATAAATGTAATTCCTAACTGGGCTTGAGGCTCATAATTATCTTCATAATCTTGCTGCGTGTCGTTGCACATCTTTACTCCATAAATGCTATGAAAACGACTATATAAACCGTTGCCTTTTCGTTTATATCTCGACACTACTTACTTTATATTTGTAATAACGCTAATTGGCCACGTTAGCTTTGATGCTAATTGTCGCCAGTGCTAAAAATAGCCGATGTACGTCAATTATGAGTTACTAAACAAACATGTTAAGCATACATATTTACTATTATTATTTTTGCTTTTAATAGTATTTTATCTATTTTACCTGACTTCCAATGCAAAATGGTAACTGGTGACGTAATACGTTCATCTTTTGAAAAATAAGATGTATGCACAACAAGGGAATATCTTCGTTACCTTTACATACATTACTTTTTTACTCCCATATGCATCTGTCAGACTGCTGTTTTCGACGCGGCGATAGCGCCGCGATTCCACAGAGAGAACATCCCGATGGAAAGAGCAGCGTCTCGTTCAGTGACCTTGCTAAGAAACTTACGTTACAGCGAGTAGGGCAAAAATAACTAGTACAGATCCTAAAGTTAAGCGTACTCTTGAAAAAATTCATGAAGCACTTCTATCACAAGCTAGGTTTAACGCAGAGTTTCGAATCTTTCAACACCCAAAGCGAAGGATTCGCGCTAGCAAATAACGTGTTGCGTTCTCCCCTTAGCGTCTTCAGAGTAAAATAAGACGACAAGCTATGCTGTGCAATGACCGAACTTGGCTCATAGTTTCCTCGTAGTTTTAGTAAAGTTTTTTTTTACAACAAGTACGAACAAAATAACTTAAGTATTCTTGTTAATAACTAACTGAACATTAATCGTTAACTCAGTACAAACGTAAAGCCAACTTTATTCGACGTAATTACATTGTGGTTATTCTATACGTTCTAATAGTGCCTTTTGTGTGAGAACTTAATGAAGACCTTACGTGCCGTTGACGCCCGGCGTGCCGCTGTCGTTGTGCAATCAGGAAGATCTCCTACGTTGTTTTGTACGCTCAGAAAGCCCAACCATGTCACTTTTGGTGATCATTCCGCTAGGCCGAACACCGAATCTTCCACAGGGGGATCTATTCATTCAAACTATATCGGTGAGCGATTGCTATTGTCGTTTTTTTTTACGTAGACTCTATAAGAACAACGAAATGTAGTTTTAACAAATAAGCAATTGCGCATTGATTCATTTGTCGTTTTCAAAGAAAAAGTTGCCATTTGAAAGATCAGAAAAACAATAATTAAAGAACTCCTATATTTTCAGTTCCTTCGGCGATTGGAGTCATACAAGATTTTTTTTCAAAATGACAATCGTAACATTTAAATCTACCCAGAAATAAAAAGCACTCTTACAACGTAGGTACGCTTGTATGTTGGGCATATTTTGCGTACGTTTTTACGTAGTATTGATGAACCGTTATAGTAATGATGTGCTGTGGTGTGAATTAGCGGATATAGTCTGTCATAACCAATAATAAACAATTCGATTCTTCAATAGTACGCACGTAGATTGTTTAGCGCATGACGCTGTTAACTGTACATGGAAAAATGTACTTTCACTTCAGTGTCAAATGTCAATAAGTGTTCAAGTGTCAGATAAAGTCTGACCATTAATTAGACAAAAATGTTGCCTAACAGCAAAGTCAGCGAATGAAGGTTATTAAAAAATAAACTTTCTCCCAATGAGAAGTAAACTCTCGGCCTATACTGATGTCAAGTGACAGTTTTTCGCATATAAATATTCGTGTTGTCCACGTACTGCTAATCCGTGGCTTTCTCAATGTGGACAACTGAACTACTACTGACAAGAACGTATGGAATGAATTATTCTTAGCCGCAGATCGATGTCTACTAATGCATTTCGACGACGCCCTCTTTCTTCTGACAGTCGCATCGGGCCTCCAAAACAATCATTAACCTAACCATTCTCGAAGAGCGAATAGTTTGAAAACTGGATACCACTTCTCGTGTACATGCGATACAGCGTAACAATTATTTTATACACAAGGCAAAAATTGTATGTTGGTAGTGATGTAGTGGTAACGTATATGCCTACTGAACTTAGGCACGTGTGATGGTGGAAGTTTGAATGCGGCCGGGGACACATTTGCTGCGTTCGGGAGAGGGCCAGCCATCTGACGAAATGTTCAGCGGCCATACTGAAAGTAACACGCGCAATATTTAGTTAGTAGGGAAATAACCTGCCAACCGTTGTTAATGTGCAAAGCATTGCATTTGGCTTTGGCCTGACAAAGGATTCCCCTTGAGTATGTCGAACGTAAAGGTTCATGGGCAGCCACAACTAAAAGTGTACTCTAAAAAATCAATTGCAGAAAGTGCTCGGAAAGTTAGCTTCGATAATATAACAACAGAAATTGCTTTTGGTGTTTTTCTCTATATAAAATCGGCTAGATTTTGCTAATTTTTAATGATCATTGGATACAAGGATAGAACCACCAAGCAGTTCATAACGCTAGAGGAAATGCTTCTCCTGTAAGAAATGGGAGCTTAAAAAGCTAGCTTATGTTACTCAATGTTTATTTTAATCTGTTCCTTTTGATTAAAATAGACTTCGATTCTCTAATTCTTGCAAGGACAGTGCATCACTTCGTGCATCTAGTCATCCACTTGTTTAAAAACCTCGATATAGCGTTCCACATGCGGCAAATAAGCAACAGCTGAATAGACGTCGCATAGACAAAGCACAAAGCGAGAGGCGGCAAATCCGCATTTGATAGTTGTGTTACATGTGTAGAATTAGGTACTATAATAAAATTAGATGTTACCGAAAAGATTGCTCTATAGGAATAGCGTTTGCTAGCTCGACGCTCGTCTGGTGACATTGTCGTTCCACAGTTTCATTAATCTCAAGTAACAAATGCTTATATTGTGCACACTAAATGTATCTCACCTGGAAAACCTATCTTCTTAGACACTTAGTAGTTTCATCGAATTTCTCACGAGCAATGTCGTCACTCTCTGATACTGCTGCAACCGTTGAAATGCCCGAAGATCCTCTTGCACCGCCACCTGTACCGGATTATCACCGCGGTGCGAAGCGTAAAGGTTCCGGGGACGAAACACAGTTGATGCCTGAAATTGTTGATGTAAAGAAAATTCGAATGGGTAATAAGGACCTACGGCCCGGATTCTCTGAGGACCGTTTCGATGAAACTGATTATTATTTCGAAAACGGGCTAAGAAAGGTGTATCCTTATGAATTTACATATTCCACATTCACCAAGGGCCGCTGGGTAGGTAGGCCACTCTTGGACGTGTTTAGACAGGAATTCCGCGCACAAACTTTGGAATACTACAATAACGCCATTGCTAGTGGTCGTGTGCGTGTCAATAACGAATCAGTGGGTCTTGATTACCGCCTGAAAGACGGCGATCTTATGATAAACAGAACCCATCGACATGAAGTGCCTGTCATTGGTAAGTTTGTTAGTTATTCTCTTTCTTGTTTTTTTTTCATGACTCGTAACCTACGATTTGTTTGGAATCTTTGCGCGCTTATAGAACGAACAGATAGCATAAATGAAAAGTAATTGATACATTTCTTAGCGCATATTGAGTGCTCAACAAAGTCATCCAATGTATTGTGCCAGTCTCTCTGTTTGCCTCCCGGTAGTTCGTTGTATCTTCCTTGATTCGTTGGATGAAACAAGAACGCGAATTATAAAGGTTTTGTTTGTTTTTTCGATAGGTTGTAAACTCAAAATTATCCATGAAGACGATCACATGCTAGTGGTCGATAAGCCTCCGTCGATACCTGTGCATCCGTGCGGTAGATATCGTCATAATAGTATTATTTTTCTTCTTGCCAAGGAATTCGGAGTCAAGAAGATCCATACCATCCACCGTCTTGATAGGCTCACTTCAGGAATACTTATGTTTGCCAAAAGTCTCGAACGATCACAATTTATGTCGTCACAGATTCGGAGCTTAGCTGTCCAAAAAGAGTATTTATGCCGGGTTGAGGGAGAGTTTCCCGTCGACGAAGTGGAAGTATCCGAACCGATAGAGGTATTCTCTAATAAAATTGGAGTTTGTGGAGTAGGTCGCGAAGGAAAGGCATGCACGACATTATTTAAACGACTTAGCTTTAATGGTAAGTCGAGTGTTGTACTTGCAAAACCAAAACAAGGCCGAATGCATCAGATTAGAGTGCATCTCCAATACCTTGGACACCCGATTGTAAACGATTCCCTATACAACGATGTGGTGAGTCGTCTCTGGGCAACTAGCACAAATTGTGCTCCAGCTATGTTAATATACAGTACTGGTATAGATATTTACTAGAAATCGCGTTTTGTATGAATCAGTTAATCGGCTAAACAGATCAGATAATATCGCATAACTTATCAACGGCATAACTATAGCCTACAAAAGACAAAGGCTACTTTATGATCTGTCGATCGAATTATGGAAAATTTGCTAAGATTTATTGTGTAATTTGTCAACTTACAGATCTTCGGTAAAAACAAGGCCAAAGGTGGTCTTTCAGAAAAGACTAAGGACGAGCTAGTTGCCGACTTACTCAAGCTGCACACGATAGAAAACTGGCTCAAGCCGATGACGGAAAAAGATGTCGAAGAACGCAGAAAAGAATGGGGCAGCATGTCTTCCAAGAAAGGGACAACTCGTGAAGACCCGTTCAAAGGTTATCCGCCTAGCCTTGAGCACTACATAGACGATGACTTTAAACGTAGTATCCGAGGCTACCAACAGGAGAAAATGGCATTTTTTGAATTTTGCAGGGAGTGCAATAGCCAATACACAGACCCCCTTCCACATGATTTGCTAATATATTTGCATTGCTATAGATACCAGGGAGATGGCTGGGAATATACGGCAAGTTGGCCCAACTGGGCTAAAGAAGAATGGGATATCGATTAGAGCCTTTCTTACAATGGTTTATATGGATGATGTGCGGTTTCTATTTGATGTGGATCCGATGACTGATGAGCGTATGTAGTGTCAGAACGAATGCTTCATTACCTAGATGTTTGGGAAGGCTCATTTCCTATTTTTGTATAGGAAACTTTACTAATAAATTAATGTTTGTATGTAATATACTGTGTTTTTTCAGTGTTGTAAAATTGAAATTGACTGATACACTATTAAAACTGGCAGTACACTAAATCTCAAGGTGATATACGTTAAATGCTTTGTCAGTTTCGAAGCTCAATCGTTTTACTTGTTATTGCCAAAGATTTCATTTCTGTTATTTAAATAATTACTGTTGATGTATATGTGTGCGTTCTCTTATAACGCGATCTCACGTGAAAAACACTAAAAAAGACTTTTCTGGGAAATTTAATGTAATAATAGTGATGAGAACACGCGCACTTTCATAATGAGAAAAACTTATAAGAAAATTTGTTAATTGTTTGCTGGAATATCGTTATCAATAAAATGTGATTTTTGGTTGCCTCTATTAGTAATTAAAGTTGTATGAGCAAAGCCCAACTAGGATCAATACGATTTGACAGGTTTTTACAAATAGACCATCTTTTTGCAAATTATTTTTTTGAAATTATATCTTTTTCTCTGTGGGTGCAAGTGAATCTTTACGTTCCACATATTAAAAAGGAACCTTTTCTGAGGTCCAAATTTAACGCAGTGCTTCTCGGATTCTCGGGTAATATTCTACCGAACTTCAATTTTGATGGGATTGTAGCAAATAGTTTATTGTCTGTTGGAGTCTAGAAGCTAGATCCTATGAAAGCCTATATTTTTTTTGAAAATTGTGCTATTGATTTGTGAACAAGGATTCTCTGTTACAGCTTGTTGTTACAAGCTGTTTGTTTGCATACGTTGTCAGAATGATTATGTGAGGCATATTTAATCCATATTTATCTTATTAATATCTTAATCCATATTTATTTTATGAGAATCCATATTTAATATTGCTGGTTGTTAGACGGCTTTAAATGTTATGCTGTATATCTCAAAAACACCACAGTATACTCTCAATACGTATACGTGTGATATCACGGCATACATTATTGGTAGAAGATACTGGAGCTATATAGGCCCATAGTTTTTTCTGTGAATGGAACGCTTGATTTGAAAATAAATGCTATGAAGCTCTTAACATTTTTAAGACACAACTGAGACAGAAATTAGGCACATCAAAGATACTGGATTTTTCCATATTAAAATTTTAAGACGTAAAATTATTTGGGTCAGTTAACACTTCTATGGTCATTTTCGAAAAAAAACTAACGATTGCATTGCTGTAGTGCACCACTGAGGCAGAACTATAGTGCTGTTATATCATTACTATAGGTAATTATTATTATAGGTGCGATTAGCAATGTGTAACATTTGTACCATAATTATAGATTGTTTCCCTTGATTTTTTGATAATGAAATACAACTACGAATAAAACTCGGTTTTACAATGTATCGTGAAACTTCATGAGAGAGCTAGCTTACCACTAAATTATCAGCAATCATTGTCCTTTTTAGCCAAGCTTGCATTTTCTGCAAGACAAACATCTTCCTTTAGTTTTATTAGTAACATCTCAGCATTATTCCTTAAAACAAAATAATTAGTGGCTTTATTTCGTGGGTCGGTACGAGTCACCGACGCAGATGTCTTCGTAAACGTTTTTTAAATATCATTAAATCGTAAAAAATATTAAGCCTTTTTTAGTCCACAAAAATAGAGAATTGTTTGTCAGATACAACGGGTTATTTCTTTCTCTTATCACCAAGCTTGATTTTAATGGTCGCGTTCGATAGATTTTGACTTATAGAGTCGGCTATCACCTGCATTAAATGTACATCTGTGTTATTGCGTAAGTGTAATTCATTACGCTCATTTTTGGACTCAGACAAACACTGTCCAACCCTTATACAGTACTATACTATATAAGGAGCCTTGTTGGACTTTGTTCATGTGTAACACATAATTTTCCTCCTAGATTACTCCTTTATGAGAAAACTCAGGCGAACTTTTCTGTATGCGACAGACGACTGTCATGGAGTCAATGCTTCAATAAATAATACGATCCTTGCCGTCGTCTGACTTTATTCGGCAAACAAGTCGTGACATGATGATCATTCTGTTACTAGAAATAAGATTGGCAGGAAAGCCTGCCACGCCTATTTGGTCAGCCTGTATATAGTGCATCATCCGGTTTCCCTAAGTTCAATATGTACACGGATGAAATAGCTCCTCTTTATTGTTAACCCGAGAGTTGTTATTATATTCTACAATATATCGAATATTGTTGAAGAGACATGTATGATTATTAAACAAGCGTTTCAAACTATGTTGTTTGCATGATTTGGGGGTTCGGCCAACAGTCAATTTATCAATTAATCGTCTACCAACTTCTAAAAAAATTACCTACTCATTAATTACAAATCAGCTTATTTTAAAAAGTGCACAAATGTACAGATAATTATCTCAGTAACTCTAAGTTTGTACCGCGATTCCCCAGCAGATAACTACAATCATTTGAATCATTCCTTCTATTTTTTTATGCTATCTGCATGCATAAAGTAATCGCCTTCCTGGTTTCTTCCCATATTTTGTTTCTAGCAAAGGTCCACATGATGCCATTTGATGCCGTCATCCGACCAATTCCATCCGTCCTAGACGAGGTCAAGGTAGCCTCCTTGATGGAGGCATTGCGTGGACCCAACGGCGATTCCAAGGTGCGTGTTAGTACCGCGGAAGAAATTCTACTTGCGATCATTACAAGCATTTACTTGTCTTTATTAAATACTTCTCCTTCAAATTTTTTTTCTTTTGTTAAGTGCAGATGTTAATTTCGTTCATTTTTTAGCATTTCTCATATTTTTAAGCATACTTCTTCAAACAGGATATAAATATTAGGGTGAGGGCAGCCGCGTCTGCGTTGTTATCCATACACAACTTCATAATACCTCTATGTTCCGAGTTGCATGCCCGGTATCGCCGTTAGGCGATCTATCGCGAAACGAGATCTGTCTGTACCCGCATTTAAACTTAGACCACAACGTGTCCCTAAGATTAGAAGGCGAACACGTTTGCTTAGCTTGAGCTCATTTTGGTGTGGTTCGACGACTTCGGGGTCCAAGCTGTTAATTGAAGAAAAATCAAGGAGTAGGTGCCTCGAGCCTGCCAACAACACATAAATAAAACAAATAGTTTTTGTGGAAAGGGAAAGTCGATTTTATATTTTCACGCTTTCGTTTTACTGAGAGTAGAATTAGCGTACTTTACTTATAATATCTTTTTGATTAGCGTTAGAATAGCTTTTTAATCTTCCATCTCTCAGACTTACATATTTAGGTATCGATTTATTTACTAACAGCGTTACCTAAACATTAATTAGGGTATTACTGTTTCGCAGGTTCCACCTGTAGATGTACTATGGATAAAAGGACGTGAAGGCGGTGATTACTACTACTCGTTTGGGGGATGCCATCGTTATGAAGCCGCAAAGAGATTAGGCTTCAGGCAGATTCGAGTGAAAATCATTAAATCTAATATTCAAGATTTACAAATATACCTTGGCGCTAGCACACCAGATTTGAAGTAATATATTTCATTCAGATATTTTAATGGCATGCTAATAAATTCAAACTGCCAATTGCTTTTGAATGTTCTCATAATTTAGTTTGCAAGTGGTCGGCTTTTGACAAGAGCAAAAGTTCGTAGGGTATGCGACTACCATTGACAACAGCAGTCAAGGCAAGGTATGCTCAATCTGCATTTAGTCGCGTGCTTCGATGAAGCTGGTGAAAACATCTCTGCGGCGGATTTCAGTAGCCAATTATTTATATTGTTTTCTGATTAATCATTTAGCGATAGCAAGATTTTTATCTTTACTTTTATATGAGGTATAATTTGCAATACTGATAATGAGTCGTTATTTGACTCGCAAATTCTGCGTAATATATCCTTCTTAGAGTAGCGTTCACGGCGTTAACGAAATAGGCGAAAGTATTTGTTTATAGGGAGGAGTTGGTCTGTTTATTAGGATTCTACGGCGACAAATCACTGGGTTTACCTAAGATAAATGCAACAACACGCATTACTTTGCCGCGACAGCCCAGATCTTCATTTAACAGCACTATAGACTGTACGAAGGGCTGGTGTTATCGGGTCAGAAAGTCAGTGATATCGCCTGTCGAGTAATTTCTATTACTGCGGATTTTCCGCTTTTTTTTTTCTAGAGTAACGTAGTTTCTTCTTGACTGCTTGTCCTGGCATGGCCACAAGTAATATACGTATGTTGTTGAGGTTTCGTAACGAACATTCAGCTAAGATTAAATATGACTTCGCATATACGCTATTTATGTGGTGGCAATTAAAAAATCAACTATTGTATTTCAAAATCAAATTTAATTTTTTCACTTTTGCTGGCACTAGATAAATACTTTGTATACACAGGTTAACAACACAATATCCAGAGATGTGTTTTAAGAAACACTTTACGTTATACGGGTCATTAGAGTCACATAGAACTTGTAAGATTGATTTAAAAGGTTTGCCAGATGTACTAAAGATGATACCAGGGTGCAATAACTGACATGATATCTGTTACAATTTGGCCGGTATCTGGAGCATCCGCATGCATCGTCGCACATGTGGAAACCCGGTTTTCTGCAGAGCCTATGGTGGAACCGATGCACGATAATGCTAATGTCGCCAATAAGTGATTTATGAGGGCGGAGAAGCTAATCAGGCAAGCCGTCGAGTTACCGTGGTACGTTAGCTCCTTGTATTATTGACGTTCTCATCGACGATAATACGGGCCTCCAGGCGTTCAGAGTATTATTACCTTCTTGACGCATACATTTTTCGATGGATCCCCTAAAAAACGAAAGTTAAAGGGTAGGCCTAGGCCTGTATATGTTATATAATTATCTAGACTGTCCAAGTAAGACCGTAAGTATGGTTAAACTACGGCCTGCGTTTCCGGGGATGATCGAGACACTATACGGTAAACTGGAAAACTTCAACCAAATGCTGCGTATACGTTTCGTTCTTTATTACATTATGTACAAGAAGAACTTCGGGGGCGCGTTTTAGAAGCCTGTTTACCTCTGAGCGTCGCGACAAAGCTTGGCGTTTGACAATGCGTGCAAATGCAACTTCGGCAGCGAGGTCAATCACCATGAATATGTAAGTACGGATGGTTGCACCCTCTGACAGGGAACGATCTTCACTTTAAAACTTTATTCTTTCTCTGGTTATGTTCATTGAAAACGTATCAATAACCGGACTTCTTGCATCTCCTAGAAAAATTCATGTTGGGATGAAATTGTCTATTCTATGAGCGTATGTTGAAATGCCGCATTACTTGCAGCTTAAATTTAGCCGGTCGAGGAGAGCGTTATAGTCGCCAAGAAAAGACAGAATGAGAAGACAGCGCTTCCAGTCCATTGGCAAGTTTCTCCAGCAGTACTTACCTTAATTCTAAATCAGCCGTCCGGACATAGGTTGCTACGGTTTACAAAGTAAGTAGGACGATATTTTAGTATAGAGGCACGTAAACTGGCTTTGATATACGCAAACTTTTATTTGTGCACGAGGTTAGTTTTGTTTCGCTTCAAATATTTCACCGGTCGGTATAGTACGATCTTTTCCTCTGCTTTTTTTCGTTATGCAATGCCAATTTGTGTTTCGATAAATTCAAGGTAAACAATGCAGACACTCTTGAGCCTCACCATGTTAAATTTGTCTTAGGTAGCGTTTTTAATATGTAATCATCTAGTAAATGCATTAAATTAACACTTCTTTTGAAGGAAAATGAACCCTTATTTATATTATTTACGATACTTAGGATTTCGAATGACATAATAAATGTAGATGTACAGGTCTACATTATTTGCTGTGAGAAGTTTATAAAAAATAAACCATTGCCTTTTATATAAATATACATATATTTGAAAATGTATTATATATTTTGGTGCAAAGAATCAAACTCTCAAAAATGTGAATTTATACCAAATCTATATTTTCATCGATTTTTGTAACTTTCATACGAACTGTAACCGAACGTTTGTGTTTAGAAAGCAGTGTAACAATTTTGACTTGCTTAGATATCTGGCAAATTGTGGCTTTAGAAGTGCTCTTTAGAAGAGAAGTTAGTTCGTTAAATGGTTAAAGATATAAAAAATACTTAATACCTAATTCGTTAACTTGGAACGTTTTTTAAAAAGGATTGAGTACGACCATTTCATATGGGTCAAGTGCGGAGCTCAACTCCGGCGATTCGACCTCGCCTCGCCGAACTCAACATCCATTAGTCGGTAAAGTGAAATCACGCGCTTGTCATTTTAAGTTGAGATGCACTAAGCAGGGGCAACTTTGGTAAGTTCCTTTAGTGTTTTGTTTTAAAAACGGTTCATATATGTTAGACTTCGTATAGGATAAAAAGACACGAACGAAAACGGCGTTGAAATGCATTGGTACATTCAAGTTATTAGCCTACACGGTCTCCCAAGACTCATACACAATGTACACTGCAAATTTTAAAAGCTCTCAAAGGTTGTATTTCTTGAAGGATCATAGAAAAGGCTAAGCAGCATTTGGTGGGGAAGCCGTTCATCATATGCCTCTTATCTTGACTGAATAAACAGTAAGCAATATGCCTAGATAGCATGAAGGTTAATTCTACAAAATCATAACCATTAAGCAGGATGATTTTATCGAGGGCAAAGATTTTTCTATGACCTTGATTTTTACTAAAACAGATGCATAATGGCTGAATTTGCGCGAGATAAAAAGTGAGGGGGTTTGAGATCAACTAGTTACATGACCATACTTTTCGGCACATAAACAGTGCTTCCATTGAAAAAGGAGGTGCGGGTGCGTAGGTAAACTGCAAACTCTAGCTAATGAGTAGACATATTAGTCGGCCTTCAGCTGTATTCGTCCTATACATGATGGTAATGCCCCTAGAGGGTCCACATATTGACAATAAATAAGCATTCATGCTATTTTAGCAGCCATCTGCGAGTTCGGCAGAGGTAACTTGGTTGCCGACTTTCGATCTGAATAATAACTGTTGAATCATACGTCTTCAAGACGCTCAAGGTAAGGTGGCGCGAGTTCTGTGCCCTCAACATCGCGATAGGTGTAAAAGGAGACTGATTTATAACGCGAGGAATTGATTTGGTCCGCGCGGCAAGTGTACTGCTGCCTGTTATTAACGGATAAACAGGTCATGTCTTTATATTAAGCGTCGTGAAAAAAGGTTTCGAGTAGAATGGAAAAATCGTCGGTTAACATTTACCATATGAGTGACTGAAATAGACTTTGAACTTTTGTCACAACACACGCCCGTTCAACAAAGTACAGTAGTAAATTCCCGCGTGGGGACTAGAGCTAGCTTTTGGCTATTATGTGACTAGTAGCCTGAGGCAAAAGCATCAAAACGAGTCAATTATCAGGAAAGCAGCAATTAAGCTCTGTTGTTTCGTGAGTTTGGATATTTCAATTGATTGTCGTGATGTCACATATTTCGGAACACAGGTGCGGAGAACAAGCAACTGCTCCGGTTTTTTACTTGGTTAAATGGTCCCTTCTCATTAGCCCCTTTTTAGGAATTAGATCCTTACACCATTTCAACTAGCCTTATTGACAGGCTAAGTTGCCAAAATGCCAGTCAAAGAAATCTACTACTTTGCAAAATGTAGATTCTGCGCAGTACATACTCAGAAACTTTAGTCAGAGGAGATCGTTATGCATTTAACCATTCTACGTTGCGTTCCCGACGCGGTCTTCCGCATTCTGGTGCCGCTGAGAGAACGGATTCTGCGCTAGACACATGTATGTTTGTTTCTTATAAGAACTGTTTGCAGGTCCCATATTGCCTTAACTGCTTGCACTTAAGGTTGAAGTTTCAAAAAATTATATAAAACATTGGTGCTCATCTGCTCAGTTGCAAAGTTTTTGAAAAAAAAAGCAGCACAGAGACAAATGATGGTACCGACAAAGAACAACAGCTAGTCCACTTCACTGCAGGCTGAGTGTAACATAAACGCTAGTTTAAGGATCATAACAAGTTTATATTGTATATAGCTTAAGTCAGGTGAAGACGCGCACCGACGGCTTGTAGAATTGATTCACAGCGATATATTTATTCATTGTTGGATACTTAAACGGAATCAATCAGCACAGCTTGGCTTACGGAGAATAACTATCGTACCTAGTTCTATGTACTACTCTACATAGGTGATAAAATAGAGTAAGTCCAGAAATATAGAGTACATATCAAGGTAGAGCTTTATTGAGATAGAATACCATTTTGTGGGTAGGCAGCTCGTAGGAGACATTTAGAATTCTATCAACTAGATCGATACCATCACTTTTATTGTTTCTATATGTGGATGACTTATTTAGTAGGGCAGCGCCTACAGGGCTGACATGTTAGCTTTTTAACACTGTCGACAACACTTACTTTGATAGGTACTTCAAGAGACAAACAAACACAGGATTTATATGAGAGGTATATCGAGACTGCGTTAAGGGAACGGAATGAATATCTGTGTTTATCATCCGTCATTCGAAATTCGGATAAAGTGGCCGAATTAAGCTTGGAAAATGGAGTTTGCAAATGTCACGGTCTGCAATTTAAGAGGAA